TTGTGGAGGATTCCCCACTAAGCCTTAAGCCTATACACACCATGCCCACATGGCTCAACGATTGGTGGCCATTGTTGGGAGAGGGGTTGAAGGAGGGGTCCGGGGAGCAGAGGAAAGCCCTGAGGATTCCCTGCCAAGCCTTTAACCTTTACGCAGATGTGACGTAGCCAGCGGTGGGCTGAAGGATGGGTCTGGGGAGCAGAGGAAAGCCCTGAGGATTCCCTGCCAAGCCTTTACCTCAATACACACTACGCAGATGTGACGTAGCCAGCGGTGGGCTGAAGGATGGGTCTGGGGAGCAGAGGAAAGCCCTGTCATCAAGGAGCCACAGCAATCAGATAGCGTTTCGGCCCCATAGTGCCGAGGAGAGATTAAGTGCTCAGCGAGCTATCAAAGGCTTAGCTGCTCGCTCTCGCTGTGATAAAGACCCTTGATTGATAGCGACCCCCGGACAGGATCACCTCAGCCACCCCCACCGCCTGCTGACACGATAGAGGACTCCATGCCTGTGAGGTAGGGACAGCCCAGAGTAATGGCTACGCTCGGATCTGATCCCTTCCCAATTCCTGGTGCCCGGAAAAAATACACACTTACACACATATACAAACATAACTCGACTGCTTACCCCGAGCACATCAATGTGAGATGTTTTTACCTGCCAGGAATCACATGGCCACATGTACAGCGCATTACCTTTATCATGGTTTTAAATCTGAACCTAATCCGAGTTCTGTGACACAAAAAAAATCATTATAAAGACTAATTCTGCTCACATTGCGATTAGTCCACGATGTGACTGATGGCTGGAAGAATTACATTAGCAAATGTAAAAGAAGGGACCAACCAGAGAAATGAGCAATGAGCAGTGAGAAATGACAGGAGACAGAAGGGTTAATAACGTTGGTCAGCTGTGTTCCTGTGGCAGTAGTGGGGGAATTAGTTCTCCTTTGTTCTTCATGACATCATCCTGCTCTTAGCCCATTTCTCAAGCCTGCTGCCCAGTCTTGTTCCCCAAATCAACATTTGGTAAATGTCATGGTAGCAGATCTTTACAGAAAAAACTATTACTTCTTGTTTTTGAGCGCTGCCGTTAGGTAATGAATAGGGCTGAATACATGTGCCATTCGGTACATCATTATTGGTTCAGTACGCACAATGAAATGAATGAATGCATTTATTAACACGGGCAGAAACTAAGTTCACAAGTAGATTTTTAACATGGAAAACATTATGCTAATTGTGGCTGCGTGTTGGTTACGGCTAATGCTGGTAACAGCCAGTCGGCCTTTTGTGAACAGTTTGATTTTCAAATAAAATACAAGCAGCACCAGAGACAGAGTAGCTGATAAGGCTGTTTGTTGGCTATGCTGCTGGTGACACATCCAATAAGCTCATTTGAGACGACATCATCCGCACGTGTGGATGACCAGAGCATGGCAGAAGCTGCCTCTGCCAATTAGTCTCCCGGTGACAATTAAGGGGCTTTTGCCAGGAAATTCAGACCAGACTAAAAAAATAACTACAACTATAGGGGTGTTTATCGCTACCAATATGCGATCATACTCTGTAGTAGAGAACATGGGACTTAGACGGGATTTAGTCCATCATGATTGTTATGATGTTACATTTTTGATTAATTTATTTCATATATTTATGTTTACAAATATGCAAATAAGCATCTGTTACAGACACACACTTTTGGTTTACAACTGTTCTTAATTGTCTTTCTGTTTGCATATTTAATATGAAAGTTCAAAATAAATTCTGTTTTCGCAGCTCCACCAAAATTGTACCGAACCTTGAACCCAAAACCGTGGTTCATACCAAGCCATGAATTTTGTGTATTGTTACTCCCTTAACAATGAATATGGAAAACATCTTTGCATACCAATAGATGAAACAACCTAACGTACCTCTAAAGTTGGTAATTCCATACAATATATTACCAATCCTGTCCATACTGGAATCAGGGAGTCCCAGCGCAAGTCCAATCGATGTAGTCGTATGGGACCTTTTGTTGCTCCATGCATTGGAAGTATGTATCCCGGACTCGTACACTCTCGGAGTTACACTGGTTAGAAGGCTGGACTATTCAACTATGCTGTTCTGACCTCCTTAACACATGATCCAGCACAATCTGCAGGGGCAGGGTCAATCTCATCCCAGAGGGAGGAGAACATATCAACGCTAGCGGACTCTTGCCGCGACCTCTTCCACCTTCGCCAGACCATAGGTAAGGCAGTCGGGGGGGGGGCAAGGTGAGTCCCCAGGGAGTCCGCATGCGCTTCAGGAACACGCAAGGCATGCTCCGCCACACAGCTCTCTGTCGACCCATGATGATACTTTTCATGTTTCATGTTTCATGTTTCGGAAGGGGGAAACAGCAAACAGGAGGCGGGGGTCACATGCTTACAGCCTCTAATAATAAACACATTCCTGAATAGCAGGAAGGCCTCATAAAATCTATATTTTGCTGTTCATACAATTCCTAAGTGCTAGCAGAGTCATTCCAGCAGTGGACAGTCGTGTGAACACCATCATTCCTCAGTTTAGACTCTCACTTTCAGTCAGATTAACAATAAATACTACTGACAGTCAATATTACTATTCTAACTTATTCCATTCATTTTTCCTTTACAGTGACTTTCAGTTGATGGAGGCACCATGTCTTGTGAGAGCCAATGAAGAACTAAGACTCTATAAGTCAGACTAAAAACACTGATGATACTGACGTCATACTGATAGGTGACCATCCAGAGAGAGTCGGCAGCGTGTCCCCTGCCGATACCCATTCTCTCGGAGGAAAATAAATCGCCCGAGTTGTATGGGTCTCACTCTCCTAGAGGCAGCTGCCACTTTAATTTTAACAACACAGACCATATGTGAAGCCAGTGTTGACAATCAGACTCTATTACGGGGCAGGCGGCTGCATTCATCAGGAAAAAATTAGCCCAGTGCTGGGCGGCGTGCTCCCATTGGCTGTCCGCGTGCTCCCATTGGCTGTCCGCGTGCTCCCATTGGCTGTCCGCATACTCCCATTGGCTGTCCGCGCAGCCTAAGCCGTTTGAGGCCACCCCAGACATTCCAGTGGATAATCTTTTCCATTCCTCCACTCTGCTCCTCGCAGAGAAGCCGGATCGCCACACAAGGCCTGCATTGTACGGCTCCCTAAAAAGTGCGCTCTTTCTTTTTCCTTCTTTTTTTCTTTCGCTCTCTTTATGCTGTACCTTTCTGGGGCGGCGCCTCTCCAGGCGGCAAGCGTCGGCCTTCTCAGTGAGCCGCCATGTTGGTAACACGCGGGCGGCGTGGCAAACACTCGCCACATCACCGGGGTGGACGGAATCCCGGGAGGCCGAGGGTCTTTCTGGCGACCTCCACTCCCCCCTTTCCAGCTGTCTGCACGCCGGGCAACAAGCTATCATTGCGGTGGGCTGGGATTGCCGAGAATCACGGAAGACACAGACCTTCCCGGGCGGCCTGCATGCGGCTGCTCTGACTTATGGCTATACATCCTATAATTGAAGACCCGTAATCCAGGCTCACACTAAAGTACGAGAACTCCAACCCCTTGTAACCACACCTCAGCATTTACACAGCAACTGTGTCAAAACAAACTTTGCCAAACAGGGCCCATTCCCCGCCAGTTCTCTGGGAGGCACTGAACTCGCCAGGAATCCATCTTCTTGCCTCGGTCGTGTCATAAACATCGAGCCACAATAAAGACCCAAAAAAAAGCATGAAAGCCATAATGTGCACCTATCAAAGACGAGCGTCACGGCGTCTGCAGCGCTGGAGTTCGAACGAGGAGCTAAACTTCAGAGAGCGAGACCGCGAGACACGGCTCATGCTTCCCTGACCCTGTCGCGACACGTTCCCTGCGGAGGGCGCCGTTTTACGAAGGGAGTCTTCATAGCCGAATCTTCAGAACAGATCAACGCGCCGTCGAGGAAGCTCATGTTTAATGCACATTAGCCTGTAGCAACACTTTTTCTTTTTTGGACGCCATTAATAAACTCAGTGCAGAACAAATAAACTCGCTGGCTTTCAAAAACGACAAGACGAGCTTTGCGAAACAGGCGTGCCGCCACATAAGAGAAACAAAGAGAGCAAAGGTAAAAAGAAAAATGTGCTTAATGAGGTTTTTGCCTGTCAGTTTGACACAAACACACTGGCGGCGGTACAGCCCAGGAACTGAGAAACAGAACAACATTCGGTATAATAAGTTTCCCCTTTGTTGGGTGTTTTGACAAAACTCAGCCGAGGGAAACTACATTAAAGTACAGCCTTATAGTAAATGTTTGGACAGGAAAATGACTAGATTACAAAGATTGTGTGTGTGTGTGTATGCGTGCGTGAGTGTGTGTATTCACGTATATGTGCATGCTCTGAGACGCACTGGCATCCCTTTGGGCTGCACCCTGCTTCCCGTTCTGTCCTTCCTGGGAAAGCCTCCAGCCTCACCACGACCCCACACTGGGTAAGTGGCTATGGAAAATGGATGGATGGACGGATACAATTGATCCTTTATAGCGAATGCAGCCTGCAGCCAAGCCTGCACTGGAAAAATACAAATTATAACTCTACTGAAAAATAGTAACTATTATTTGTGCTCCTTCAGATTTCCATGCAAGTTTATAAGTGGGACGGCCTTGGTCTCACACACCCTTCAAAGATTCACTGACCATTTTTAAAGAAAAGTTCTAGTTAGAAAGAAAAAATCAGACGCTAAAAAAATCCTGAAATTTATATGCTGCACACAACAGGATACAAATGAATAAAAAACTTTTCACTTGACAGATCTGGATTAAGTCGCATGCTGTTTCATATGAACAAAAGGCTTTTTTTTTAAATAATAAAAAAAAAATTATAATAAAGTGGGGATAAATGGTTCCTTTTCAGGAAATTGGCTCTTGCTCATTTATTAAGATAACGATAACTGCTATGTGTTTCCCGCAGAAACACAGTTTCCCATGAAAGGTGGGCGAGCTGGATGTGATTACCTGTGGATATGCGACGCTGGTGAAGGGGGCACATGCCGGTGAAGCACGAGCAGACGGTGGGCGAGCCGTCGGCCTCCCCAGTGCGGCCTCTGTGATGGGGGGGCGCTAGCGAGCACTGGGGCTTCAGGAACCCTGGGGGGAGAGAGGGGGCATGTCAGCGCTCCTGTGTGTTTCAATAAATCAGGCGGCAGATAAAGCGTGACGATGGAAGTGATGGGTGAAGTAAGGATACAGTAAAAACAAACACACTGCAGGCGGGCGTCTGGAATTCAAAAGGTTGGGGGTGAGGGAGGAGAATCCTGGGTGGCAGTAAAGGAAGCCCCACGGGGGACTCCCAGCACCGGGTAGCTCTGTCGACGTAGATGAGGCTCACTTGAAGAATTGCCCTTTCAGCAGCAGCGGACGAATGGTAAACAGACCCCTCCCACCTGAGCATAATGGCCTGTGGATTCGACTCCTGCCCCCGACTGGGAGGCCCTGCCGACCTTTCACATTCACCGCCTCGGCGCACCGTGGGGCCATTTCTCAGCAGCCCCGCCACCCTGCCGGACCGGCGCCCGTGCCTGATGCGCAGAGCCAGAGTGCAGGGTATGATCTCTGGGTGAAATGCCAGCGCCGATCCCCTTGCAAGGGAGAGAAGGACCTACGGCCGTCTGTTCCCAAGATCAGGAAAGTCACCCTCGTCCGGGAAGCCATTACCAGGGACAAGGTCACCCAACTGCTGGGCACCTTCATAAATCCTGGGTCTCAGGTTCTCCAGGCCAACACTGACACAAACTGTCGTACTAGCCCTGGAGCAAAGAATAAACTCGCAGAAACAAATGGAGAAAGAAAAAAATACAGCATCTCCCGAGATAACCTTGGACCCAAAGTCTCAGTCCAATAGCCCTTCGACAGATGGCTGCCCAGAAAAGGTTTCTTCCTGCATGTAAAGCACAGGTCTGCCAAGAAAAGGACACGCATCAGGCACCACCAACAAGTCCACGTGCATGAAAAACAAAGCCCTCAGCAACTCAACTCAAGATTAAGTTCTCGCTAGATGGTGAGAGAGAAGAGCCTGGGCACGATCTGACATGAAATCACCCGTCGTCGTCTGTGAAGGCCTGTATCAAAGTGGACTCCATCAAGCTTCAGCTACTAGTGAATGCTGGGAAGGACAGGAGGTGCTTTCAGAGGTGGGGGAGCCAGAAGAGTTATCCAAAAGCAGTGTTTCCCCTAGGTTTACAGCTTTTGGGGGGAGGCAGACGGACACCGACAGGACTCTTGGTGTTCATGTGTTTCTTTTAATGACGGCAGTCAAAAAAACACAGATATTTTTGTCTGCCTTTCAGGTGGTTGACGCGACATATTTTCCGACACATGCTCTCTGTCCGCTGATGGGAGTGTGCTCACCTGTGTGTGCGCATGTGTCTGTGCGCTCGCACGTGTCTGTGCGCACGCGTCGGGGCGGAACTCCGCCATGCATGATACAGAGAGTAGAGGAGAATTGTAAACGCGCGACCGGGTAGAGGCAAAAATGACAAGCTGTTGTGTACATATGATAAATAATATAAGGCTATTTAGTTTGTTTAATAAAAGGACAATGTAAAGACCTGTTCTATGGGAAAGGTAACCTTTAAATGACTTCTGTTGTGATCTGGCGCTATACAGAAAATAAAATTAAATAAAAATTAACTTAAAGGAGGGCGGGAGGTCCCATTGGGGGGGCTGGGCACCCCCCTAATATAATGGTAGGAGAAACACTGAAAGGGAATGGCTGGCTTCATACTCCCATGCTCAGGGGAACATCCAAGCTTTTTATTTCCTTTATAAAGACATCCAGAATGAAAGCAAGAGCAGCCACATTCGATGGTGCCGTATTATTTTCGACAAGAATGACATGTCAGCCTAGCCACAGTGAGAGGATGACATTTAAAACAAGCACGGTGATATTGAATAAGAGCCCCCTGGTAACCCAGACGGCTCTCCTCGCCGCCTGCCAGACTGCTGCCAGTCTGTCACACTCCGCAATGATCTGAATCAAAAAAATAAAAAGGGAAATAAAAATAAAAAACATCTACATCCATCAGGAGACCTGGACCTCGGGCCACTCGGCGAAGCCCTCAGAGCCGACTCGCCGACAGGCGCGGGCACCGAAATCCAATATTCTGAGTTGGCCAATTAGACACGGGAGGAAGAGCTCAGCGACACTAATTAAAAAGAAATTTAAATGAGAACAACAACAACTGAAAGCACGATTCATTAGTGTCAGATAAACTGGAACAGCAGCCACCTGTGGAGTGGCGAGCAGGTCAAACGGCAGCCCTATGATGACTTCCTGGCTGTCATCTTCTATTCCTACAGGCTGGCTGGGTGTGAGAGAGAGCAGAGAAAACATCAACCCAGCTCCTGATTTCTACTGACTGTAAACAAGGATTATTTCAAAGGAGACATTGGACTCCAAGCAACAGGTTAATCATGGCTCATTGAGACTGATTTTTTTGGATTACATGCCGTCATATTTCCATCCAAACATTGAGATATGGCTTTCTTGAGCAGATGGACCATCAACGAAGCCATTAAGGTTGATTTGGGAATTATAATGTGTTAAAAATATGCCATACTAACTTTTTTTCTCTGTTCTGCAGGTACATCTACTGGGGTCGCATTCAGTTCAGCAGGGTATGGATCTGTGTCCATGTCCAGAACGTTGTGAGCTCAAATGGAAGACTCTTAATCCTAACTGCTCCAGGGACACTGAGCCTGACTCTGCTCTCTGAGCCTGACTTGTATGTTGCTCTTCTGCTGAATAAAGTAAATATAATGTCTTAAAATTCACAAAACACAATTCATACAGAACCATACCAATCCTGTTATGTCTACTGTGTGCAACTGCAAAGCAATGAATACATCTGAGACAACCGTACATTCTACACTGGGCCCACTGCGACAGGGGTCCCTCTGACCAGTGGGCATGGTGGGGTCCCTCTGACCAGTGAGCATGGTGGGGTCCCTCTGACCAGTGGGCATGCTGGTCACTCTCTCTCTGGCTCTGAATGTGCATCTCAGCTGCCCCTAAGATTCGCGTGATGAAGATAACATGAGAGAGGAGGACACGGGCTGGGAAGGGAATGTGGTGGAGGATGTCACATCGATCCCTCTGGGCCTCTGACTGCTGTACATCTGTTCTGGCTTTAAAACGGCGGCCCATCAGCCTCATAAAATGCGGTAACCTGATTGCTTCAAAAGCATGGGGTCACTATTCACGTGATGGTCACTAAGCGTTATTTCTGTAAGAAGAGCATTTAGGAATCTCAATAATGTAAGAGGACAGAAAGAGAAAAAAGTACGAATGAAAATGCAAAACAGAACCTAGCTATAATAAAATAAATCCATACAGGAGAATTTTTAAGTTTATAAAAATAACATGAGTCCAAAGAACCTGCATATTAACAACTATGCTACGAGCCTTTAATGGACGGCGGGATAGACAGTGACAGACTCCTCATGTTTAGGGCTTTGTGCCTCTCTAACAGGCACTGAAGCATGTGAAGTTTTCACATATTTCTTAACCTGTGAGCAGATGTGGGCAATTCTTGCCATCAAAATTCCATGTCATCAACACAGACACTCCCACGTAAAAGGGCATTAATCCACCCAAGCCTTTGATTTCATTTACCACAATGCACTGACAGCGGAAATACCCTAGGGGTAAACAGGCATGCTGCCCCGACCTCGCTATCACTAATATTGAGTCATTTAAATGTATCACATTCAGCATGAAAGTGATTTCTTCTCAGAATGTGTTTGTGCTCGTCTCCCAGGAAAAGGAGCGGCTATGGCAGCCACATGTATGAACAAGCACAGCCAGGCTCCGCATCGGACACCAATGGAAATATTTATGCACTCGCCTGTCAATTAAGGACCTGTCACAGGCTCCTGTAATTATTATCTGGCTCCGTAGAGACTGCATGGAGTAGAAAGGTTAGATCCATTTTTTCTTTTGTGTTATTTGTTTTGCGAGATCCAGCAATAAGGTTAATTGTGTTACAACACAATATTTCACATCCTAAAGAAATATTCCATCAATAATGTCACTATATATTTAGGAGACTGAGCCACATAACCATTGAAGACATCTCAGCACTCAAACACTGTGCCCAGATGGTTCTCCCTATTGTGTCCAAGCCAGGCTTTATGGTCCCAATAAGATCTCCTTGTCTGCCTCACGGATGGGGGACCTTGTCCCTCCCGAGTGGTACTCTGCAATTGCATCTTTTCCCGGCCTCGTATCTTATGGTGTTACGACGGAATTTGTGCCCACAGTTAAGGTATCTAAAGTAGGTTGCATGTTTCCTGGTAGCGCCAAAGCCGTCTCTGTATTAGTCGTTCACGAGAGAATTGCGGAATGCACAGGAATTTCAAATGAGAACACGTACCTCCTTTAGCTAGCCTGTCTGTGATGTGGCCTCTCTACTGAATGCCTATCGATTACCTTCAGAGCAAACTACTCCTAACAGAAGCTCTACCATGCCTAAGGTCTAGGACGAGAGAAATGGTCCAGATATAAATAAAAGTATATAACCATAGCCATGGGTCTCGTTGCATGTAGGCCATCTTCTTTATGCGAAATTATACAAAACTTATCCAAAGATAGCAGTTTTTAGATGTATTTTATAGATTTCTATGTAAAGGTGTCTGAAAATGCAGTGATAGAGATTTTCTACAATTATATTGAGGTATGGTAGAGAGGTTTTAGGACAGAAAGTTTATTGGAAAAATACTTTGTTGAGCAGTTTGAGATTCCTGGGCACTGTGCAAAGGTAGTAGCAGGATACTTTCACAACGAAATGTAAGAACATGTCTGAGTACCTACGAGCTCTAACTTGAAATGTGAATCAGCTGAGAATTGACAAGAGGAAGGCTTCAGTCATCCGAATGATTCTGACACGCAACACAATAGACTTATTTCACATTTAATTTATTCCAGAATGCCAGAGGCTAAAAGAAGCTAAATCTTAAGTCAAACAGAGGTTCAAGGGCCACATATAAAGTCTCATTGGGAAAAAAATGCTTAGTTAGTTTGGCTCATTTCATATTTCTGAATTTACCCTCAGGGTCTGTTTCGAACAGAACTCGCTGTAGCATGCAACATAACACACAAAGGCATTTCTGTTTTCAGTTCTGTCCTGTTGTTTATTAAAATGTTTTTTTTTTCAATTTTGGTTATAGTGTGCTTTTTCTGTTAAAATGTGAACACTAAACAGACTCCTATCATAATATAATTATTGTAACAACCTTTCAATTATAAATGTTATACTATTTGGAAAGTCATATTAGAGGTTTAATTAAAGTTTAACTAAACAGAGAACTGGGCGAGTCTAAACCAGACAGGTCCAAAGTATACTGTATAGCAGCTTTTAATAATGCCATATGCCATTTATACAACTTGCAAAATGTGAATTTTCACCTTTGTTATACTGATTAATCAAACTTGTTGGAAGTGTAAAGAAACAACTTCAAAGGCATGTACATTTTCAGTCTTGAGTAGCTTTTAAGCCATTCTTAAAAGGACCAAATACACAAGTATTAGTTTACTACTGTACACAAATTCGTCCTCCAAAGTAATTTTTGTCCCATGTATTCAGATGGCTACATCACTCAGGAATAACATTATTCATTCTTATACTAAGGTCAATTTGTCCTAATATTTCTGAGTATCACAGCACCAGCGTTTCTCGTTCAATGAAAAACAATATATAACTGCAATATATTACTAACCCCAACTTGGACATACAACTAAACACACTCAACTAGAGGAATGACTGTTTCTATATCAAACCCGATGTAATTCCACTAGTTTAAGCAGAGTAAAAATGCAGAGGAGCACATAAAACATTAAATGACTTGTACACTGCTGAAGATAACTAACACACCGAGATAACCACTGTTTTGCTAGTGGCTTAACAAGCCTGCCTAGCTAGCTTTGTGTCCACTCGCCTGGTAATGAAAGGGCTGATGTAACCATCCATTGACTGCCCTGCCTGGAGTACCAGTGCATTTCCAATGTGACTGAGGGTCATTTGTGTACTAATTTTAGTGTAAAAACATGTGGGGAATAGGTGTAAGAGCAAGTATAGCTACAGAAAGCTGTTCCCAGGGTCCCAGTTCCCATTCTGATTAACTTCCATGTGTCCTGTGTCCTCTGGCAGTGTGCGGGAGCATTAATTATCCCACAAGTCACATGCCTGGGAACATCCATTTGTTCAAAAGGGACAAACGCGACGAGTGTCAGGTCACTGGATTACAAATCATTTAGCAACACGGGCAGATGCTAATTTGTGGGCGGCCCTGCAGAAGCCAGACACAGACCCGAATAGCATGTAACCTCAAAGCAGGAGATCGTACCTCCAAAGCGAAACATGACCTAAGCGAGCAGATTCAAGAGCGAAGAAAAGCGAAGAATACTGAACGGAGACTTCAGCGCTCTGCCTTCCTCTCGCTGTGTCTCCACCCCATGATGCCTTATGTAAGTAGCTGGGTGGGCATTTCCTTTTTCTGCACCGCCCCCGGAGCCCACACATGAGCTGAGGGGAACTTATGTCCCTCGGGGTCAACCTCACGGTCAGAGTTCATTCCTGAAGCTCTCCGGCTTTCAAAGAGAGCGCGTCCCTGGCAACGTGCCGCCGCCCCGCCTTCCACGGGCTGGAACCCTCCAGAGATTCCCAGCCAGAGATTCCCGGTGTCCTCTTACAGCCCTGCCTCTTCCTGCCTCCTTCAGCTCAGTCCTGCTCTTTCCTGAGCAGAAGAACACGGTGTGATCTACTGGGAGGGACGTCTCCACGCTGCCGCTCCAAAGAGCCGGCCTCGCTCCATCTTTTCAGGAATCCGCTCGGAACTCACTCTCACAACTGTGAGTCAATGTAATACGCATAAAAAGTCAAACAGCCCAACCAACATGTGTAATGATACGAACCCGAAAATATCACCACAGTTCCTGAGGTCACATTTCTGACACTCTGTCTCAGACACAGTGCCCAACGACGAGAAGTTACTGCATGTTCCATCGCATGTCTGACCTCTATGAGTCGCATGAATGGCTGCGGCTCTTGTTGATATCAGGCTGCACGAGTTGGGGGCAGCATGAATCAGCAGCTTTCCAAAGACACACAAGAGGCCTTGGTGGAGTGATCTCTCCTCTGGATTTCAATGCTCTGGCATCCCTCTGGATTACAATAACAGAACACACAGTTTCTTGATTTCAGTCACTTTTTAACTCGCTTAAGCAATTTCCAAAGTAAACATCCCCACATTACATCCTCTCTAAACCAAAAAAGTCCTAAAAAAGAAGAAGACCTGAAAATCTGATTGGTTAAAGTTCCACATAAATGACATACATTTTGTCATCATTCCTAAATACATTGATTACTATTCACATACAGACACGCATCCCATACAGACTAAGAACAAACTCATTTTGTTCACAAATGATAATAATGTTGCATGTCTATTTAAACATACAACAAACCCATTTTTCTGCAGTTCAATACTGTTTTGGAAATTCTTTTAGGAATTACAAATTATTTACCATTATTTTATATTCACTTGCCCGAGACACCATAGATGAGTTAAATGCTCACAGAAACACACAAATACTAGCTACATATTTACAAAGAGGCATTCAAAATGTATGAAGATGCCACAGGCCAGTGTAGTGGCCAAAAGAGACATCAGCTCAACCACCCTTCCTTCCTTCCATCCATCCATCCATCCATCCATCCATCCATCTTCTAACTGCATATCCGTGTCAGGGTCATGGGGGTGTGACTGGAGCCTGTCCCAGGCATCAGAGGGCACAAGGCAGGGTTACACCCCAGCCAGGATGCCAATTTGGATTCTACAGCTTTCTGGATTCCACAGCCATTTATCAGTGCTTGTTTTCCTCCCGACGAAGGAGACTGACAAATTCAGGAGAAGAATAACAAAGAGGAGGCAGATTTGACAAGATGGTGGTGAGACAAACAACAGGAAAGAGTGAACGTGATAACAAGGTTATGCGGATGATTGGAAGAAGA